CCTAAGTATGACTATTCGTAAGTAAGAGATAAAAATAAATAAAACTCGTGCATCTTCATTATTTTTTTACTTTATTAACATTAAATAAATATTTAATAATTAATGTGATGGATGAGCCGGCAAATCAGTGCACATTTTCTCAAATTAAAGCTTTTACAATATTTTGCGGCGCCTCAGTAAAGACTCCGCGGCTCCCCGAGGCGCCGCGGCGCACAGTTTTGGAATCACTGTCTTGATAGATTACTTTTGGATTACCTTTCATTTCGTTTGAAGAAACGAGTGTAATGGATTCGTAGATTGGTTCCACCGGATGCGTGCGTGTTAGTGTCTATATGCAATACGGTTCCTAAGTCAGAGTTGTCAAAGGTTTAATCTCAGTTTCTGATCCTTAAAGCCTAATGACCCAAAATAAAGCCTTGATTGAGGCTGCGTAGGTCCGTTATCAAGTATGGTCGAGATAATTAGATATGAGCTTGTAAGCATGAAAATCAAGTTACGAAACCACTTAAGCGATGCTAATGAAAGCAATTAAGGCGAGGTCGAAACTGCCGCCTCTCTAGTCTGGATGAGAATATTTATTTGGAGAAGTAAGGCTATGCGAATTTCAATGAAAACCTCATGCCTACACATCAGATTGTGGGAAATTGTGACTATCAACCCTTCATCACCTTTGGTCGCTACTTCATGCTTTTTGGCACTCCATACACACAACACGTGGAACTGAATGTAAGAAGTACATTTTTGATTATTCATTATTTTGTTTTACCTTGAATAAATCGTCTTTTCGTCATTGAAAATGCAAAGTTACCTTTTTATTAACATCATTTCAAGCAATCAAATATTTATATATAGGCTAAATTATTTTTAAAATTATTACTTATGCAGTCCACTCTGGATGAGAACAACTTTTGGGAAAGCAAGGCAATGTGAAATTGAATGGAAACGTAAGCTAAACCAGTCCTTTATCACCTTAACGAAATAGCGTGAATACATCTGATATGACTGATTTATAGATAGTCTCG